AAGCAAAATAAATCTGAATGTTCTATGGACCACAGGGGAATCATGAGCACAAGCAAATTTCAAAGTCTTGCATCCAGTTTTTCCAAAATGTTCAGCAGGGCAACTTTATGTTCCTGAGTGCTCTACACTTCATTTTTTTTTTTTTAATGTGGTACAAAGAATTGAACCCGGTGCCTCACACATGCAAGGCAAGCACTGTACCACTGAGCTACAACCCCAGCCCCTGTTCTCTGCTTTTTACAGTGCAAATGAGTGTTAAGTGTGTGTGTGTGTGTGTGTGTGTGTGTGTGTGTTGTGCAAACATGCTTATCATGCATTAGAAAGGTTGATTCTGTTAACTGCTACTATTGGTTTTAAGTTCCAAGTGAGATTATTTTCTGTTTCTCAATATTCTAGGATCTCTCTAAATGCTAAATCCTATAAATGTTAAATAAGGGACAGAAAAAAAAGAGATGTATTTTTTAACCTTATTGGTGGGAGGTTGATTGATGCCTTAAATTATATATCATATTACAGACTCTGCCAACTCTGAAGAATAAATTCTTTATTTTCCTACACTTAAAAAATTCAGGAAAAAAAGTCATAGATGTTAAAATCATAGCTTTATGAAGATACCATTGATATATGGTAGATTTAGATTGTTTTTAAACATCAAATATCCGAGTAAAAATTTAATAAAACAAGGAATCCATCAATGCCCCACATGCTTGCCTCTCCGGACATAATAGGTGTGTCTGAAAGATGGAGGAAAAGGCAGAACTACATAAACAGAATCCTATTTTAAAAGCATCAGAAGAACTTTGCTATTGAAGATAACCTTCTCATAATGCCATCTCTTGAGTAAATGCTCTTTTATCATATGAAAACATGAAGTTATATCATAAGTTTATATATTTTTATAGACCATCATGGGGTTTGTAACAAAATAACAGCAAAACAAAAACAAAGTGAAACCCCATACATATAATTGGTTCTATAATATAAATATCACAGTGCTAAATTATCTCTAAAACCAAATTTATCTATATTACTATCAAATGAGGTATTTCCATTAAGACACTAAGGATATTATATAGAATGCCCCACATACAACAAAAATATGGAGCTATGTCTTGGATTGCTATTGTTTTAAAATATTTTGAAGGAAGGTATTAATACAGACTATAACACTCCTCTACCCCATCCCTTATTTTGAAAAAAATCTTGAAATATATATTGATTCATTTCATGACCCCTCCAATTGGTTATACTTAGGTTTCATTATATTCTTTCCTTGATAGCCCTTTCACATCATCTAAGCAAAATCCAAGAAAAGAATGAAAAAAAAGTCAGACCCAAATCTGGGTCTAGAGCCAGATACCAGGGTTTTCCAGGTCATCCAGCTGGATTCCAAGGATGTCACATGTGTGTAAATACTGATGTTTGTGTTGTTTCCCTGGAGTTTTACAGATATACTATTTCCACGTTTTGCTTCTTTTCCGTTAGCCCTATCACCTGTAAACAAAGTGCTAGGGATTGAGAATCTTACCATCCACATAATTAAGGTTTCTTTCTCCAAAGGTATCCTGGACAAGCTGGGGAGTACCCCATGCATATCATCTAAACACATATCTGAAATGATCAATATGGTTGTTTCTAGAGCCACTGCCTAAATACAAGGATGACAAGCACTGCGTCCTTCTTTATTTATTTGTTTATTGGTGTACTGGAGATTGAACCCAGGGTCTCTGTGATTGCTAGTCAGATGCTCTACCACTGAGCTACAATATCTTCAACACTCCTGGGTTTAAACCCAGCTCTGCCTCTTAAAAATATATTAGCTCTGATAATTTACTTAACCTATAAAGCCTCATTTTTTCATCTGCCAAAAGAAGACAGTAATTATTATGTACATCAGCAAGTTGTTGTAAGAACTAAGTAAGTGAATACTTGTAAAATGCTTGGGACTCTGCCTGAAACATAGAAAGCAGTGAACTAACACAAGCTACTAATATGCCTGAAGCTCAAGGCCAGTGTGAAAATAAGCATGCACATGTGTATAAAATGTCATCTATGTTTACATATCTATTCATAGGAAAATACACAGATGCACTTAATTTCCAGAAAGATATTTTAGTTACATTTGGTCTTTGTCAATAAATTGACATATCAGTTTGTCTTTCAACTGGGAGGGTCAAGACTATGACTTTTTCAAGGGACAAAAATACATATTTAATTTAGCACTAATAAGTAAAACTTGAAGAATGTAATGCACCAACATATTTAGAAAACTTAGGAGAAGGAGAAAGACAGAACTGAAAGAATTTTTTTTATATATTTATCCTCACCACAGGGGGAAACAAAAAGAACAGAAACATGATCTGGAATGTTTTGACCACCAAAAAAACTTTTTTGAATTTTTAATTTTGTACAATAACAACGAATTCAACAATATGCAGCAACATTAGCACAGAAGGTTCAGTGAAAATTCAGGATAACTACTTTTCTCAGTGTTGAGAATACAACCACCATGTAGGTGTTAAGAGCATAAATCCCACACATGGACAATCTAACGAGATAAATTCTCCCACGGCTGTCCATCCACTTCTGATTCAACACCTCAGGAACCGTAAAGTCTGCTTTTCTTCAACTGCAGCTTTCAACAAGATATGATCTTGGCCTACGCACACACATACACACATACAGAGGAGTCCATGGAAAATGTATAGTTTGCTTTTATAAAGTCTTAAAATTAACAGCCAGAATATATTGACCATGATCCCCACCATGTACATGTTTTTTATCATCTTGAAATAAAGGGAAGAACATGAAACTAATATGCTTCCTCACAAAACAGAAGGGGAAAAAATCCCTTAGAGTGTGGGACCACCGTCACTTCCTGTACCTCTGAGGGAAGAAGACCCCCATCTCCTGCAGATATCAGAATCTATGGATGCTCAAGTTCCTTACATGAAATGGCACTATATTCTATATCACCTACACACATCCTCTCATATAATTTCAATCACCTCAATCAGATTACTGGTAATGCCAAATATAAATGTTATGCAATTAGTGGTTATACTGTGTTGTATAAGGCAAAAGAACAAGAAAAGTGCCTGGTTTTGTATCATACAGATACAATTTTTTTTTATTATTATTATTATATGCCCTGCAAATCAGCCATAGGGAAACAAGCAAGAAGAAGAGCACCTTTATTTACTTTCTGTGGGTCTTGGGCATTGGAAGGTGTGATGCAGCAGGCTGCCGCAGAGGGCTCTGTTTCAAGGTGGTGCTCACTAAGGAGGACTCACCTTAAAGAAGGGGCAGTGGAGAAGTGCCCCCCCCTCCCGCCTTCTGCCAAGGCTTCCTTCCCATCTAGAAGTCCTCTCCCCTGGCCAACCGGTTTCTATTCATTTGTTCTAATCTTTCTTCGGATCAGGCCAGCAGTCCATTAATCATTTCTGTCATCCCCTACAGGATCCAGGGCAACAGATCTGTTTTTCTAAAATCACAGTGCCAGAAACTAAACTCAAGGAGGAGGAAATCCTTTGCTCCTCGCGGCGGCTGGCTGGCGTGATGACTGGAAGAAGCCACCAATTGTGTTCACTTTCCTCTTCTGCCCAGAATTGCACAGAACATTCCATGGAAAGTTTTGAAAGGGAATTCAGGTGGGAAGTGGAATTGGCAGGGTTGAAGAGGAACCCAACACATAAAGCCACCCACCGGCTAAGGAGGATGTGAGAAAAGGGGGTGGATAAATATATGTCAAGACAATGACAGATATAAATTAACAAATTCCTTATTTTCAAGGCCAAATATTTTGACAACTCCAGACATCAGAGAAGGTATATTAAACATAAAACTTGTAGACAGCATAGTCCTCTATGCCCTGATGAGATGGAAAAACTGAAATTAACTACATCAAACAAAATGCTCCCCAATGGCAGCGAAAAAGCAAATCAAATATATCCAATTGAGAATGAGTGACTATAGAGAGAGGGTGAGAATGACCTTGGCCCTGTTGACATCTTGAGCTCATTTTTTTTCTAAGTCTGAGCCAGTGGGATAGCAGAGATTATTAAGGTAATACTGATGTTAGAAAACAAGAGATAGAAGAACCATGTGAAGTGCAAAAGTCAGACTGTGAATCATGACCTGTACTTATTCATACGCCACTCATGCATCATGTCAGCCCCTATAGTAATCTCCACTCAATACAGAAATCAGTGCCATAATAACATCATTCAAAATTTGCCAGTGAAAGACATGGTATCTCCTTCCATGGGTAATAATGCCAATCTGATTTAGAACAAATCCCTTTACAAATAAGAGAGAATGTCCAGAGAGTCAAAGTGAGGGTGTTGTAACAACTGCCAAGTCCTTCCAGGATTCTTGAATACTCTGTGATACTTAGGTGGCTTTAAGTTCTCCTCCAGTTCTTTGATCCTATGATTATACATATGCTCATAAGAATGAACCAGTGTTATCAGAGGAAAGAATATACTTCATATACATGAATATTTCTCCATTATGACATTGAGTTAAATGGTAATATGTAATGATCAGTTATGCAGCAAATGGCTTGATAGGAATAAATGCTTTTAATATCAAAGTTTATTAATACTTACTTAAAACCTAAATCAGAGCCATTTATTTATAATCATGTGATTATTCAGCTGCCATTTTTCATAGTAGGCGTCAGGACAGCAACTGTACAAATCTGGCTATATAACAACTACAGAAAATTTAAATATATATGTGTATATATTTATATTATATTTGCAGTATACACATGTATATTTAAATTTAAATACATATACATATGTATGTAACACTCTCTTAAGCTCCTCAAGAAATGGTACATAAGTAGGATTTTGTCAATTTAAAGCATTTTCATGACCTAAGTACAATCTTAGAAAGACAAACCCAACATAATCCTTTATGCCATAATATATTTTACAAAGACAAATGGCTACAAAGCAGCAGCAAATAATTTGAACATAAAAAAGAAAGCTTACCACAAATGCTATGGTACTTCTTAACGTGGACTCCCACTGGAAGCAGCTCTTAAGGAACTGAATTGTATTCCATACTGCCATAGTGAGTCTTTTCACACGGTCCACATCTCTTGATAAGATCTGATTTAAAAAAAAAATGAAAATGGAGAACTTGATTTAAATACTCAAAGTATTCCCTTGAGATCAAGTAGCCTGATCATTTAAATTATCTTCTGTGGAGGTGCCAATTAGAAAAATTAATAGAAAGGGAACGTCTGATACTACTAAAACTGTTTTAAAATATTATCATTCATAAGAGGAAAAACAATTCCAGTGTATAGTTACAGCTCATTTGATGAAGAATAACTCTTTCAATAATATTCAGCAAAAAACTGGTCTGGTAAAAGGTATAGCAACTGGGCTTCTGATACCATTGGATGTGTGAAAGTGTATGTGTGAGACACAGGGAGAAAGAGAGAAAGACAGATGGACACAGAGAAACAGAGTCAAAGCTCACAAGAATGGGAATGAATGCTGATATTGTTTTTCTTTGGAATTAACTGCACAAATTCATAGTGGACAATTCAAGTAATACAGCTCATCTTGTCTATACACCTATAAGAAAGTATAGTTCTTGGAAGAGAATCCAGTCCTCCCTCTTCCCAACTGTACAACCCTAGGCAAGTTACTTAACTCCTTCACAAAATAGGACTGCTATTAGTCTCACTTTACAAGTGGTTGTAATGTTAAGAGAATTAAGCGCCTTAGAAAAATACCTGTCACATAGTAAAAGGTTTTAAGAATTTGTATCAAAAGCAAAAGTATCACCTTTATGAACACTGGGGGTTACTAAGTGGTTAAAGGCACACAGGAGGGTCGTGACCTACTCCAGGAGTTCAGCCTCAAACCCCTCATTTTTCTCAGAGCCCAAATCCACCCCACTTGGAGGTCATGTTTTACAAAGGAAATGTCTTTTCTCCCTGTTTTAGGCAGATTCATTTCAATTTGTTTGCAAAGCAGCTACACCATCTACCTTAACTCAAGTATTAACTTTCAGGGAAACAGATCAAAATGCAATAATAAAAATAATAATAATAATATAATAATAATAATAATAATAATAATATAAAAAAGGCCTTTACTCAGAATATACAAAAAAAAATATCATAGACTGCCAGTATTAGGGCAGACTGAAACAAAACATTTATTTGGATGCTTCCTTTTAGAAGATGGTTAAGGCCTTTTGCAATTGTGCCCAGAAGTTCATGGGAAACAAAAGGTTGATAAGATGCCTTTATATTTAACTACTTTGTTTCATACACAGCTGCTGAGTCCAAAGGAAGTAGTGGAAGTAATAAACGCTTTAAAAAGGGGACACTTTGTTCTTTGTTACACAACTGAAGAGGGACAATGGGTACAGAGTGAAATCCTGAACTATATCTAAAGAGGACAGGGAGGGACTGAGGGGTTGGGATGGGAAGGTAAAGGTCATAGTAAAAAAAAAAAAAAAAAAAAAAAAAAAGTAAAACTTCCACTACTTGTCCCTGATCTTCACTTTTTGTTGGACCGAAGAGAGGAATTTCAGGCAACAGGCAGAGGGAAAGTTAGACAATTCAGCATGGGGTAAAATGCCAACACAGCCCAAATTTAGACAACACACAAGTGATAAGAAAAGTCTTTGGGTAATCTGAGGCCAGAAGTCTGGAAGAGTCCTCTGGGTTAATTCCCTTATCCACTCAACAGGCAGAACACCTCCCTGCAACTTCAAAAGCTAGAGACTGAAATAGCTATCAGTGAAGGAGGGTGGACAGGCAAGGGAATTCAGGAGGATGTCTATGCTAGGAATTGTTCTTTAAGAATGATTCAGGAGAATACTGGAGGGCTGGCTGAGGCTTCTGCTTCAACCCATAGGTTTGTTTTAAGTCTCTGTACCCCATTCTTATTGAACTGCCTAATGTTCTTATTTTGGGAGAGAAGGAAAGACAAATGGAGAGGGAGGGAAGGAAAGAAGCAGACAAGCAGTGAGGAAGAAGCACTTGGGTGCTGGGAGTTTATGTGTCCAGCAGCCAGTCTAGGGGACCAACCTACCTATTTTTTTTTTTTTTTTGTACCTGGAATTGAACCCAGGGGCACTTAACCATTTAGCCACATCCCCAACCACCTTTTGTATTGTATTAGAGATAGGGTCTCACTGAGCTGCTTAGGTCCTTGCTAAATTGCTGAGGCTGCCTTTGAACTCTCAATCCTCCTGCTTCAATCTCCAGAGCCACTGGGATTACAGGTTATGCACCACTATGCCTGGGACCAGCCTACCTTTTTGGACAGCTTCCGGCTATCTTCAACAAAGCGCTTTTCTCTGGGAGTAAAGGTCCTAATACTTGCCTTGACCTAGAAAGACACCAGTTGTTACAAAGAACAGCATGCAAGTGGCCTTTACCATCCTTCTCCTCTGCCTAGTAACTGGAAAAAAGATGGAAACCAATGCCTTTGGACCCTGAGGCCTCTGGCAGGGTCCAAAGGCAGATACCCTCAGCTCTGCCTGTCTTTGTGGAGCATTTCAGGAGAGTCCTTTGGCAGGCTGGATATGGGAGAGTGTTGTCTCCACTTCAGTAATTCCTAGGAGGTAATTTAAACCACACCTCAGAGAGTGATGTTCATACATTCTCAAACTAATGTCCCTGGAAGATAAAATTTCCCTCTCATATTATTTTGAACTTAGCTTACACAGATAATACCTGGTACATGCACATCAATTTTCAGCTTATTAAAGGAAAAAAAATCTTTTCCACAGAGAATCTCAGTTCTTTTCAATGACCTGGAAAAATAAATGGATGTACCACATCATTCCCATTTTATAAGAAATAAACTGAGGCTCAGAGGGATTTAATGATTTATTCAAACCACCAGAGAGAGAAAAAACACACACAATAAAATCTAAGTCCTTCTCCTCTGCATCAGATGGACAACTGAAAAGTCACTTAAGAGAGATATTTTGTTTTTAAGGCTTTAATCCCACTTGCCCTTAAGCCCAGATTTTTGTCCAAGTATAATAACCTTTATACACAATGCATACACAAATGCTTGCCAGAGAAAGGCAGGAACGGGGGCAATATGTCCTGTAACCTCCTTATGTTTGATGTCCTTAAAGGTAAAGGGAGGAGATGACAAAAAAAGGAGAAACATGCTCTTACACTGAAGACTATGCCCAGAGTTCTAGCACTACTGAGAGCCAGGGAACATAAGGATAAAAATATATTTATATAATATATAAAATTTTGCATTATATATTGGACAGATAATATATAATAGACTATGTAGAGATTTATACATACATTTTACCTTGTATATAGGTTATATGTTCATTGTATAAGTTTCATCTATATATTACATAAATTTTAGATATATATTTATGCAATGAGCTGTACTTTATATAACATATAGATATACCATCTTTGGTATATATACCCATATATTTATATAATATTGAGCTATGTTATCTACCTATATCTGTATATTTATATGATATATAGATTACATAGATCTATTTTTTCCTTTTGGTTTTACTCATTCCTTTGCATTTCATTTTACTGAGAATTAAACACCATTGATTCTGCTGATGGAACCTGAAAGCTGGGATTCTCAGCACAAATTTTAGGGCTGAGGTTTTAAAAATGATTATCCCCTCTCTCTCCAGTCACAACAATCAAGAGATACTGTTCATTAGTTTTAGTCTCTAAAGCCTGGTTACCTTTATTTTAAGTACAAAAATGCTAGGAAGTATGACCCAATAAGACTTACCGGATTATATATGAGGTCCATCTCTAAGTAAATAACTCCTTTAAAAGCTTGTTCTAAGTCTTTATTCTTCAGTACATAACAATTTGGTTGCCCGTCTTTAATCTGTTATAAACAAAAGATAAAATACACAATAGTACAAACTTTCTGTAAGGTTTAAACAGAATAACCACAACTAACTTTGGTAAAGTTGCAAAGGGAGTGAATTTATTAAACAGAACCTAAATCTATCATGAATCAATTTTTAATTCCAGAGACCTGTTATAATAGATAAGAAGGTAAAGTAACAACTACCAGGATCAAACTTGTGTGTTGATAGAAAATTATTGGTACAAATCGTAACAGAATCACATAGCCTTTTCCTTCAAACACCCCAGAGGTTACACACTTTCATGTACCCCCAAAATGATTAATATTCTACAAAATTCCTGGCCAATACTCCACAAGACTGTCAAGGTCATGGGAAAAAAGGAAAGACTAGGAAACCATCATAAATCAGAAGAGAATAAGGAGATAAGATGACTGAATATAATGGGATACCCTGATCTGGATCCTGGAAAAGAAACAGGACATTAAGTGCCAAAGCTAGTGAAGTCCAAATAAAGAACAGAGTCCAGTTATTAATAATGTACCAATGTCATGGTGTCTCTTAGTTTTGACAAAACTATCACGGTCATTTGTGATAGTAACATTAGGAGAAATTGGGTGGAGAGTATGTGAGGATTCTCTTGTCTTTACAATTTTTTCTGTGAATCTAAAATTATTCCCAAACTATCTTTTTTTTTTT